ATATAGAGGTGGAGCCAGTGGCGGAGCCACATACAATTGAGGGCTGTCGACCGACACCCCTTTGTCGGAAAATTATACTGCATAGTTAGATAAAAATATATTTTTTATGTATATATATTACATATTGACACTACTCGACTTCTACACAATTTAACTTCTTTATATTTTGACACTCCTTAGTTGAAATTCTAGCTCCGCCATTGGGTGGAGCTAGGTAGGGGTCATGGGTTCGGACGAACCCATTAGCTTTTTCGTAGACCTTATATTTGTATTAAAAATTAAATAAATATATGTATATTTTGAATTATATTATGTCTGGATAAGTCCCCACGTACTTATCTCTGTTGAGGTTTTATTTTAATTATATTATTAATAAAAATAAAATAAAAAAACTCCAAACAAAATTGATTTAGAACCCTCAAATTCCTAACCTTAGCTCTGCCTCTCTATATATAATTGTTTGATAATCATTAATCCATGCATGGAATAAATAACCTTGTACTAATTATTAGATAAGTTTTACTGTTTTCATTAATCTAGCCATGTCATTAATTATAACACGGTAAAAGGGTGAAATTAAAGAAAAAAGTCATGCACGTAAGCTAGCATGCATATATAAAAAGAATGAGCGACTTGGCTAGATTATTAATAAAAGAAAACATTAAACGAATTTAAGTTATATTATATACACCTGTATATAAAGATTCAACATTTAATAATTTTGTATAAAACTTACCCTCAAAACAAAAAGACGGTAAGCTCTAGTCATGACTACTATAACCAAAGACTTTTTCTGTTGATAATCAATAAGAAATAAGAAATTTGTGTTATGAAACATGATGGGTGCGTTTGGTATGAAGGAAAACATTTTTCGAGCGTTTGGTATGAAGGAAAACATTTTTCGAAAAATGTTTTTCAATTTTCTCATGTTTGGTTGGGTTAAATGTTTTCCAAATCAACTCATTTTTCTCAAATTTTAGGAAAATGACTTCCCTTCAAAACTTAAGGAAAATATTTTCCAAAACTCTCTTCCAACTTCAAATTACAATTATTTTTTTGTTGAAAAAATCAATTTATTTTGTCCCTACCCTCAAACCACCCCCCCTCAAAATAATAATTTTAAAGCTTGTTTTTTAAATTCAATTTTTTTACCCCACCCTCACCCCTACCCC